GGCGGCGGGAGGCGGCGCGGGAGGCGGCGACAGAAGCGGCGGCGGAGGCGGCGACAGAAGCGGCGCTGGCGGTGGCGGCGGCGGCGGCGGCGAAGGACAGCAGGTATAGGTCGCCCGTTGGAAGATAAAGCAGTCCTGAAACGTGCGCACGGCGGCGTAGCCGTAGCGACAGGTCGCGCTCTCGCCCGCGGGCGCACAGCAGTCGTTGCCGGTGCTCGTGCACTGTGAATCGTCGCAGCCGGGCGGCGGCGGCGGAGAGCACTCGCAGATGCCGTCTCCGCCAGGGAGGCGCGCGTGGAAGTCGAGTTCGAATGTCTGCGTGCAGGTGTTCATCCTCTCGTCCCAGGCCTGGGGACGGCACACGGGCGGGGCCGGCTCAGCATCGGGGTCTCAGACTCGGGCCAGCGGGGGTGGTGTGGACAGGCGTCGGCATGTCCCGACACGTCGGTCCCTCCCGCGGCCCGACGTGTCGGGACCGCGGCGACGTGCCAACGGCTCGCGGCCAAGCAACGAGAGTGGTGGAGATAAGGCGGGGGCGTCGGCGGCGTTGTGTCTCGGTGTCGTGCCGCACCCCTTTGACCGTCAAGCCCAGTTCGGTGCAGTACGCAGCGCAGCTGGTGGACCGGACGTGAACCTTGCACGGGCCGCAGACGTGCTCGGACGGCCACGCCCATTCTTTGCAAGAATCCATGGTGGCCTTTGACCCGACGGCGTGCCCCTTTAGCCCCCCCCCTTTTTTGGACCCCACCCACGGCGTTTCTTTGCCGAAAGAAAACATTCGTGAAGCGTCGTGTATTAGCAAAAAGAAAGAAAGAAAACCACAACCCAAGGGAGGGATGGGAGGACGGCACGCCGCCACCACACAGGGATTTTAAGGAGAGGAGGGTGTGGTGCGCTATCCGTCGCCCACCCTAGGGCGTCCGCCTCTTCCTATCTCTCTTCGCAGTCTCTCGCCGATTCTCGCTGCAACCTTCATGCCACCTCGCGGTCGTCCCACCCTCGTCGTTCTCTCCCTTGTCACTTCCTCCTCTGTCGCGTCGTTCTCTTCTGCCTCGTCCTGCGACGCCGCCGCCTGCCGGTCCCTTGTTCTCGCGGCTTCTTTCGCCTTTTTCGGCGCAACTCCGTCCTCCTCGCGGCGTATCCTGGCCCCTCGAGTCTATCGAGCTCCCCTGCCTCGCGCAAGGACCACATTTCTGACTCCCACTCCGATCATTTGCCTACAGGTCATGTTGTTGCTCAGGTCCACTCTCTCTTCGAACACTCGTGCCTCTACGGATGATGCCGGCGCTGGGGTCCCCTTCGGATGCATCGTGACATCTGACAACTGGATTTCCACTGGTTCGTCCTCCTCGGAGTCATCTTCCCCGTCCTCCTTCCGCTCGGCTCTTCGCTCGGTACGTTCGGTGTGGCTCACCCTCCATGCCGTGAACAGGCGCTTTATCCACCCTATATTCTTCTCTCGTTCCTCTGCCCGTGCCTTGGTCTTGTCGTTGTTTCGCACCCATGTCTGTATGGCAATCGAGGCTGCCTTCCCCACCACCTGTAGTTCACTCGTCACCTCTCGGGAGGACGGGGGTGTGGATTAGGAAGAAACGTTTTTATTTTTTCATGCTCGCGCTGATCGCGCCTCTCGCCGCGGCCTTCGCTCCGCCCCTGTCACCGAGGCTGAAGCCATCGGTCCGCCGCGGCGCTGCTCGCGGCGGCCTCTTTGGCGGCGGCGACACGCAGGTGGTGACCGACATCGACGACACCGTAAAGTCGAGCGGCGGCCTCTCGCTCGCCGGCATCCCGCTCGGCGGCGTCGACACGAGCTATGCGCGCGGCTCCTTCTACCCGGGCGTCTTCCAGTTTGGCCTCGAGCTCTCGTGCGCGCGTCTGCCGCCGGGCCGGCCTCCCGCGAGGGTGGCGGTCCTCACCGCCCGCGCCGTCGAATTCAAGGCGCTGCTCGAGATCAAGCAGAGCAGCAAGCTGTGCGTGCGCTACCGCGACGCCGCGCAGCGGCGGCTCCGCGCGCCGTGGGGCGTCGGGCCTGTGCTGTACGGCAGCGTGCAGGAGTGGGTCTGCCAGGAGCGCAAGGGCTGGCGCAAGGCGGCGAACTTTGAGCTGCTGCGAGCCGAGGCGCCCGCAGGCCGCCGCTTCATCTTCGTCGGCGACAATGGCGCGTCGGAGAAGGACCTGGACGCCGCGGAGCGCATCACGCGGCGCCACCCCGGCCTGGTCCGCGCCGTCTTCATGCACGCAGTCTCGCCGGGTGCGACGGCCGCGCCGCTCCCGCCCGACGGCGAGCTGCATGGCGTGCCGCTGCGCTACTTCCGCACCTACGCCTCCGCGGCCGCGAAGGCGCACCAGCTCGGCCTGATTGGCAGGGGCGCGCTGGCGCGGGTGCTCGACTCATGCGAGGAGGAGATGGCCGCGGACTCGCTCAACCTGCCGCCCGGCTCGCCAAACGAGCGGCTCCTCGTCGACGAGGTGCGGTCCGCGAGGCCGCGCGGCTGGCTCTTGAGGCGGAGGGAGAGGGCCTGACGGCGTTGCGGTTGCTGATTCTGTGAGAGTCGTGATCTCTATTCTCTTGAAATTCTCTCTCTGATTTTGCACTCTACGAAAAGCATAAAGCAAGAAAGAATCTCTCCCGCTGCCTGTGGGTTTCTCTCTGGAGATTGGCCAAAGTACAGGTTTCGATCCGGGCCACCGCAAATTTTGATCAGCAAATTTCGAGGGGCGGCCGCAAATTTTGAGGTAGATTTTGATTGTCAAAATGTGTCCGTCTTGGCACAGGATAGAGCATATAGGCGGCGAACACGCGGGTGCGCAGGGACATCGCGACTCTGCCCGCTCGCTCGACCCTTTTGCCGCGAGAGGGCGCCGGCCGCGTGCAAGAGGTGGCTGGCGCCCTGAGGCGGCAATTGGTGGCGTGGGGAGTGCGGAACGCTACTGGCGGCGTGACAGGGCCTCTCTCGATTGCGTGTGCCGCCCATCGGCACGCGGGTGCGCAGACATCGCGCGACTCTGCCCGCTCGCTCGACCCTTTTGCCGCGAGAGGGCGCCGGCCGCGTGTAAGAGGTGGCTGGCGCCCTGAGGCGGCAATTGGTGGCGTGGGGAGTGCGGAGAACGCTACTGGCGGCGCGACAGGGCCTCTCTCGATTGCGTGTGCCGCCCATCGGCACGCGGGTGCGCAGACATCGCGACTCTGCCCGCTCGCTCGACCCTTTTGCCGCGAGAGGGCGCCGGCCGCGTGTAAGTAGTAAGAGGTGGCTGGCGCCCTGAGGCGGCAATTGGTGGCGTGGGGAGTGCGGAGAACGCTACTGGCGGCGCGACAGGGCCTCTCTCGGTTGCGTGTGCCGCCCATCGGCACGCGGGTGCGCAGACATCGCGACTCTGCCCGCTCGCTCGACCCTTTTGCCGCGAGAGGGCGCCGGCCGCGTGTAAGAAGTGGCTGGCGGCCTGGCGCCCTGAGGCGGCATTTGGTGGGGTCAGCGTGCGGTGCTGAGTCTTACTCGTCGGCGCTGGGGCCAGATCCCAGCGCAGAACTCTGCAACGCTGGCATACAAACACAAGCAAGAAGACTAACCCTAACCCTAACCCTAACCCTAACCCTAAAGCCGTAGAGGTCAGCGTGTGGGGCTGAGTCTTAGTCGTCGGCGCTGTGCGGCCAGATCCCAGCGCAGAACCCTGCAACGCTGGCATATACAGACACAACCAGACTAACCCTGACCCTGACCCTAACCCTAACCCTAACCCTAACCCTCTAACCCTAATAACCCTAACCTAACCCACACCCCCCAACTCCACACCGCAAATTTGAAAGATCTTGACGAAAATCAGGCCCGACTGCAAATTTCTTCAAAATTTTCGCAGGCGCTCCGCGCCTGCAGATTTTGAAATAAATTCGACAAAATTGGTACCTGGCCCAATCTGGAGAGACTGAGAGAGACAGAGTCAGTCAGAGAGAGCTGAGAGGATTTTCAATACCAAACAACTCTAACACTCACACGTCATTCTCATTTGGGGCCTGGAGCCCTGTTCACGCGCGCGCAAGACCTGCAGACAGGGTTGCCAGGTAAGAGCAAATGGCGCGGTTGACGCTCGCACAAACAGGGAGAGAGATGCGCTCTGCATGGTGCTTGGTGGGACAATAAAAGAGTAAAGAGAGCCAGAATCGTTTCGGAAAAGCATGCGCGACGCTGCCTCTTCCCCCCTCGCTCGCGGCGGCGGGAGACATGGCCGCCGATGCGGCTCGCACTCGCTCGGCGGGCCTCCATCCCACAGCCGCTCGGGCGTGCCAGTGGTCGGCCTGGCGCTGCGCTGCTCGCACGCTGCACTGCACAAAGCTGCGACAACAAGAGGAGGCTCCTGAGCTTCAGCGTTGAGCAGTGCAGCTGCGGGTGCTCGTGGTGTGCTGTGCAGTGGTGAGAGCGCCTGTTTGGAGGCGAGCTGGTGCTGCGCCAGGGTGCGCAGCATGCGCTCTCTTGCTCTGTGCTGAGGCATGCTGGCTGGCGCCCAACACAATGCCCTTCGGTACATTGCTCCACGCCGTGTTGGTTGGTGCAGTACTGCCAGTGCGCCGACTGGCGCGCGGGGTGCGCGTCGCCGCGCGTGGCACGGGTGGCTCGAGAGGCGCGGCCGTCGGTCAACCCCGCGGCGCATGGGCGCCGCGGAAGCTGCTCGACAGGCTGCGGGCATCGTTGCGGCAAAAAGCGCCCGCCCTCGGCTTTGCTTTCGCCGCGCGTTTTAC